GCTGGACTCCCACATGGTCAACCACGGTTTGAGTTCCAGACCTGGTGGCTTGCTTTCTCACTTTCCCTCTCTCGCTTGTGCGTGTGCTCTCTCTCTCTCACTCTGTCCCTCTCTGGTCAAATAAAATAAAATAAGTAAAGTTGAAATAATAAAAATAATTTAAAAATTTTGGGGACCAGTAGGTGGCATGGTGGTTGGAGTGCTGGATTCCCATATGGCCAACTGCAGTTCAAGTCCTAAACCTGGGAGTTTGAAAATCACAACAAACAAACAAACAAATAAATGTTTTTTAAAAAAAGACGGGCCGGCAGGTGGCATGTGGTTAAGGGCACTGGATTCCCACATGCCTAACCAGTTCAAATCCCAGACCTGGTGACTTGCTTTCTCATTTTTCCTCTTTCTCTCACTGTCCCTCTCTGGTCAAAGTAAAATAAATAAATAAAGTTTTAAAAAATTATTTAAAAAGAAAAAGAGAAAGAAATACAGAAAGACTTGAAAGCCTCTAGAGATAGGGACTAAAGAAGGGTAGGAAAAGATAAAGGAATATTTTGTTGTAAGTAGTTTGGTAGTTTCAAAGTAGACAAGCTACTTTGCAATTATAAAAATTAATTCTAGAATAACCATAATATGGGCCTTATTATTAAATGATGGCATAGAGGGGTATTTTTTAAAATTAGGTAAATCTAATAATGATGAGTGATTGAATTATATTGATGTGAATTATGATACACGTTTTGTTTTGTTAGGTTTTTGCCTTAGGGTGTATGCACTCACTGGAGACAGAGAGAGACAAAAGAGGGAAAGTAAGAAATCCTCCTCCAAGGGATATGGCCATACTGCAGTCCTTTTTGGGCACACACACACATGCACCTAGTGTGATTTTCAAGCCTTCTGGGTTTGGGTCGAACGAACGCCAGTCAACTATGTGGGAGTTCAGCACCTTAACCACCTGCTGGTCTCTCCCTGATAAATTCTTACATCAAAAAAGTGCATCATAAAACAATATAAGTAAAACGACTGCAAATGTGTATGAGTCTATTTGGTGGTCTTGTTAAAGAATCTAGTTTGTTTGTTTGTTTTTTAAGAAAGATTTTTGCTATAGGGAGTGTGCCCTAGCCAGAGAGAGACAGAGAGACAAAAAGCAAGAAATTACCCCCCATGGGGGATGGCCATGCCACAGTCTCTTTTCTTCCATTCTCCTCTAGGATTATGGGCACATATGCACACATGCCCAGCATGAGGTTTAAGCTGTTGGGTCTGGGACTTGAACGATGGTCGACTACATGAGGAGTCCAGCAACGCAACCATTATATCATATGCTGGTCCCAAGAATCTAGTTCTAATAGGCTTATATATGCATAAAAAATGTTTGGGAGAGGGACCAGCAGGTGGCGTGATAGTTAGGGGCGTTGGGCTCCCACATGACTGACCACAGTTCGAGTCCCAGTCCTGGCGGTTTGCTTTCTCTCTCTCTCCTTCACTCTTTCTCTTGTTCTGTCCCTCTCTGGTCAAATTAAAATAAACAAATAGATGAATAACTAAAGTTAAATAAAATAATTTTAAAAAAGAAACAACTCCAACTTCAGTTTCAAAAAAATGTTTCAGAGACTAAACAATGGCTAAATAAGAAATATTGAGATAAAGAACTTTTTTCATTTTCCTTCAAAGAATTTTATACGATTTACATTTTCCACCTATAAAGAGGTTTCATTATCTTTGCATTAAATTGTCCTTCCGTCCCTGTTTTTGTTGTTCTTTTTTTAAGGAAAAAGGGGACTCCTATATACTGACCTGCTTCCTGCCGCAGCAATCCCAGAGTATCAAGGATCCTACAAGCTTCCAGGGAGCACTGGATCATTGCTTCTTTTTTCTTTCCAGAGTGAATGGCCTCAGCCACAAGTTGTTTTCCAGTTGAATCATCCACAGGTAATCTGTGTTTGTTTGGAGGGATTATGGCATAGCACTAAGCTCAGATTCTCATGAGAACTAATATGCTATGATAATAGTCTTTCTTATTTTTTACGAGAGAGAGATTTTTGCTATAGAAGTGTGTATTCACCAGAGAGACAGAAAATCGCTCCCCCAGGAGGGGATTGCCACACTGCTATCCCTTCTCCTGCACTCTCCTCTTGGGGTTCTGGGCATGCAAGCACACGTGCCTGGCATGAGTTTTAAGTCACCAGGTCCAGGACTCAAAATGCAGTCAACTACATGGGAGTCCAGCGACATACCATTACGCCATCTTCTGGTCCCCATCTTTAGTTTTTTAAATGGTTTTTCAGTCTCTCAATTCATTTTGTTCTATTTTGCCAGGGCTAGACTTGACAAATCCTTTTCTTTTCCTCCCACCTCTTACCCCTTTGCCCCTCAATAATAGAGGTGTTACTATACTATCAACACCCAAATTTAGGATTCCTAAAATTAAGATTAAAGTTATTCTTGGATTGTTGTCTATAATCATAAATTAAATCTGAACTTGGTCATTTCCCAGAAATGAACATTAATAAGAAAGGAACATACCTCACCCTGCAGAGCCAAGTGCTATGCCCCTGTTCATCAAATTCATATTCTAGTTCTTCTCCTGTGGGAGGAAGAGAGGCAAAACATTTTACTTGAATCTGAAAATTACTAGTTGATAAAATTACAAAAGAGAGCAAAGGTTAAATAAGAACATCAAGTTTCTCTACCACACTGGATACTAAATTTCAATGTATTCCCCTTCAGTCCTAGGATTTTATCATCCGATAAGAAAGGGTAAGTCCGAGGCACAAAAAAGCAAACTCAGATCAAAGCAATCAACTCTCTATATATTCCTTTATTCACTATATAGTCATTTTCATACTGTTTTATGAGTTAGACTTCAGTGGTTATTTTGTCACATTTGCCTGGTCTTCAGAAGCATATGTGAAGAAAGTAACCAGTTCATATATATTCATTTACACACACACACACACACACACACACACACACACAATGTTCTCTCAAAAAACACTATTTCCACTGCTAAAACAGTTTTTAAAAATCATATTAAGTCAGGGCTGGCAGGTGGTGTGGTAGTTAAGGCACTGGACTCCCACATGGTCGACCATGGTTCAAGTCCCAGAATGGCAGCTTGCTTTCTCCTTTCCATCTCTTTGTCTCTGGTCAAATTAAAAATAACCATAAATAAAATTAAATAAATAATTCTTTAAAAAAATCATATAAAGTCAAAGTCCATGTTAAGAATTACAAAAGATCAAGTGAATTAGAAACAAAAATTGTTTTTTAAAGAATTATTATATTTTAAAAAAAGAATGATATTTAACCTTGTTTATTTGTTTATTTATTTATTTTAACTTGAACAGAGAGGGACAGAGAAAGAAAGAGAGAGAGATAGAAAGTGAGAAAGCAAGCCACCACGCCCAGGACTTGAACCACAGTCAGCTACGTGGGAGTTCAGTGCCCTTAACCACCATGCCACCTGCCAGCACCCACGAACAAAAAATTTTAAGAAGTCAGTTTAATTTCCCTACCACCAAAGTCCAGGATTTCTTTTTTTTTTTTTTTTTTTTTTGAGAGATTTTCACTGTAGGGCGCGGGCGCTCGCCAGACAGACAGAGAGAGACATAGAGACAGAAAGCGAGCAATCACCCCCCAGGGGGGGTGGTCACGCCGCAATCCCTTCTCCTCCATTCTCCTCTCGGGATCTTGGGCACGCACGCACACGCGCCCAGCGTGAGTTTTAAGCCACCGGGTCCGGGACACGAACCGCAGTCGACTACGTGGGAGTCCAGCGACATAGCCATTACGCTAACTGCTGGTTCCCAAGTCCAGGATGTTTTGAGAAAAACAAGTCTGAAAAAAATGTTTCCTTTATTGCAAGATGGGAAGAAAGACTAAGATATTTACTATTTTCAAGAAAAACCTGAAGTAACTGATCACAAGGGCAAAAACTAGAAAAGGAAGACAACAGATAAAGATAACATTTCTAAGTACAAAGCTCAGCCTGAAGCTCTAGAAAACAACACAGCTGTGGATACTTATTACTAGACAGTCAAAATCTGTTCATGTACCTTCTCGGTCAAAAAAACCTTGGAGAGCCTTTTTTGGGTCCTTTATATAAAAGGCCTCTCTTTCCAAAAAACTCTAAGACAATGGGGTTCTCTTCAGCCTCATCCTCCACAGCATCTTCTCCTGCAGAACAGGAGCAAGAAAGGAACAATAATCAAACATGAAAAAAGACCATCTAATACTCACTGTCCTTTCAGGTTACATACAGTTACCTGTGATGAAAAGAAAAGGTCAGAAGGTGAGACAACCACAAAACCACCAAGGTTTTCCAAATTGCATAATGAGCCAAAACTTGTTATACAAAATTGTACAACAATCCATAAATTGTATAACAATCCAAACTTATTTTTTCTCTCCATCACTATATTTTAAAAGCAAAATTACATACGGTATTGTCTATAGGAAAAATATCTGAATTCAGCTTGCTTCAAACCCCCCCTCAATTATATTGTCTCTAGTGTAATTTTTTTTTCCAGAGGTTTTTGCCATAGGGTTTATGCACTTCAGAGACAGAGAGACAGAGACAGTGAGAGAGGAAGTGAGAAATCACCCACCAGGGAGGATTGGCCACTCTACCATACTTGCTCCTCCATTTTCCTCCTGGAATCTTGGATATGCATGCATGCCCCAGGCATGATTTTCAAGCCACCAGGTCTGGGACTTGAACCACAGTTGGTCATGAAGGAGTCCAGCTATGTAACCACTACATCTCTGATGGCCCCTCCAATATAATTTCTTAATACTTCTCATATCTGCCAAATACATTGATCTATTCATCACTCCCTTAAAATCATCAATCTCTGCCCTAAATGTCAAGCCCAGTGCTCAGCTTCATAAGGGCTACTTTCCTTTCCTTGAAGTCTCAGCTCAAAAGCTTTCTGCTTTTAAACTTACAAAATTTCTAAGGATCTAAGTCAGGGCTGTTCAGCAGACATTTGGGCCAGCAACATTACAAGTGCTTACTAAGCAGATGTGGCTAGGGGCTGCTACATTGGACAGCACCAGTCTAAGTCCTCGGTGACTGCTTCCTTCTCTGAACCCTTCCTCTAACATACTTCCGGGTCGTAGCTTTTCCTTGGCACTTAGCACGAGCACTTTTATATTTATATTGTCTAAAGGACCAGTTTTCTTTGATTAGCTGGCCCACATTTCCAAATAGTTCCACAAAGTATAAAACATTCAAGAGATAATCCTATATTGAGCCAGCTGGTGGCCTGGTTAAGGTGGCTGAATCTCACAGACCCAAAAGTCCCAGACCCAGAAGCTTGAAAAACATGCCGGGTGCATGCCCAAAATCCTGAAAAGAGGAAGAAATGAAGGAGAAGAGATTATGGCATGACTGTCCCCCATGGGTGATGTTTTCTCACTTTCTCTCTCTGGCAAGCACACATGCCCTCTGACAAATAAAAAAGAATATCCTATATTAATTAGCACTCAATTTGATATGATTGAGTATAGTTCCTCCCCTTGCCACACCCATCTATCTGGTAGGCGTATATTCATTCTAAAGTATACCTTAAGTCACCACCCTTTATCACTTCTCCAGTCCACCTCCCTTCCTTATAGTCTCACAGCACTCAAGATCAATACTTAATAAATACATATTTTTAAATGGTGAAAACATTAAGTTAATTGTATGCTAAGGAAAAGTTTTTAACAAGAGAGTGCAATAAAAACATTCAAAGGAATCCAGAGTGCTCAGAATTCAGTATTTTTACATCAGGAAAGTTACCTCATGTGCAAATGATGTTTGCCTTATCTATCTCAAAGAGTCATGCAGATCTGTATGATTAAAAAGCACGTAAGGGCGCCATGCACAATAAACTCAAAGTATTAACTCTGGCAGCAATTTTAATGTCTTACCCATTCCCCAGGTGCAACCCATCTCATCATCTTGGCTACTAGTATTTCTCTTCCTTTCGGTGGTATCCATTTCCTCTTCTTCATCTGAGTCTTCTCCTAGCATCTTCTTCTCTAACAACATTTGTTGCTGCTTGCGCAGTTCCTTCAGCTGCGTTACTGTTAACTCGGATTCTGCCTCTCGGTCTTCTTCTGGTCCCTAATGAAGCAAATTCCCACCCCCCCAAAAAAAAATATTTTAGAGTTCTGGACTGTGGAAGTTAGTTTCAGAAATACAGCAATGTGTGGGAACCAGCAGTTAGCGTAATGGCTATGTCGCTGGACTCCCACGCAGTCGACCGTGGTTCGTGTCCTGGACCCGGTGGCTTAAAACTCACGCCGGGCGCGTGTGTGTGCGTGCCCAAGATCCCGAGAGGAGAATGGAGGAGAAGGGATTGCGGCGTGACCATCCACCCTGGGGGGTGATTTCTAGCTTTCTGTCTCTATGTCTCTCTCTGTCTGTCTGGCGAGCGCACGCGCCCTACAGTGAAAATCTCTCCAAAAAAAAGAAATACAGCAATGTGTACAGAGGTCTGGAGATGAGGGGCCAGATTGATTTCTTCCTCCACTTTTGTAATTGCCAACTGGGAGACTCTCCTTCCTCAATGAAAGCCTAAGAAACTCAGGATCCCAGTCCGGTTCTCTCCTGAGGGTTTCGATTCTAGGTTTTTCTGCTTACCTGCAAAAGAAAGAGCCTGGTGCTGCCTCCAAAGCGAAGAACATGACCTACATGTACCCGGCAATAGGTGCGTGGGGGGATGCGAGTTTTGTTGAGAAAAGTGCCATGGGTGCTTCCCAGATCGTAGAGATAGAAGCCGGGTCCGTGGCCGTCGCTTTCCTTGTCGGGGTCGGATGCCCTGTGCTGCAGGACGGCGTGGTACCGAGACACCGAAGGGTGCTCCAGGCACACATCGCAGCTAGCCAGCCTCCCAAACAGGCAGCGGCTCGTCCCTGTCAAGCTACGGGTGCCAATAATGGTGCCGCCCTTCAAGGTCTCTAGACTGTAAGGGGCCATGACCGGGCCGCCCCATGGCGGCTCTTGGTATGGGGGAGCCTTCAATGGGCCTCCAGAAGGAGCTGTGGTAGGGGGGCGCGGCTGCTGCTCCTGTGGACTCCTAGTTTCCCCGCCATCTGGCCGAGGCGGCGGGACATCGGGCTCCCCGGAATCGGGATCCAGAAGCGCCACGGGCCCTTCTTTTGTCACCTCCTCAGGATTAGAGGAGCTAGTGGCCGGGGTCTTACCCCGCACCGCCA